AATCTATACAGACTTGACACTGCAGCTTAAAACATAGTACATCCATTTGTCACCGAGCACCCCATAAGGATGCTACAGTATAGCCATAACATGACAGTGCTGTGCCACTAGCAGACAAGAATGAGAGCATGGCCCCTTTTTTCACATGATAACATAACAGCACACAGCATGCAAGAAATGGATTGAACAACTGCTGTTAGTACAAGAGGATAATGACAAGGAATCAGACAACAATCCCTGGATTCTTCTGCGGATCTATGTGGAGCTGATGTTAGAGCAAAATAAACACGATTTGTTCGACTTCCTAACAGAAAACAGAGGTAAGAGGAAGAGCGCAGTATTCTAGTGCAATAAACAGACACCACTGGATGAAGTGGTGTGTTTTGAATGTGTTAATAAGATTTTACTTAAGACATCATATCAGTTCACTCACACCAAGAACTCTGTTTGTGGGTGATTATGATTTATAACAAATTTTATAAATAGTACTTAATTTCAGAGCTCACTGTTCAACACCTGGTAACATCTGGGAACAAAATTTGGTCTTGTCTAACTAAAAGAAATGGGTTAATTGAGGCTGATGCCCAGTATATGGAAAACTGGCATGCATGGCACAAATCCACACCCGCTCGTATTACTAATTATTTCAAGTTATTATCGAAATATGTTCAGTGCAACGACTGCTGTAATATGTTGTCCAGTGCACTTAAGCTGTCCAAGAGTAAAATGCCCTACCATGCCAGGCTGAAGATGTAGAAAACATAATTCAACCCTAACACAACTACTCCCAGTGTTCTGCCAAATGCCAGTTATTATATACTTAACCTCCAAGTGCTGGACTGAGAAGAAGCCTGTAATTTTTCTTCAATCTCTTTACTGTTTGTGCCTTGTTTTTGAAATTAGTCACCGGCAAGAGGTGGAAAGAAAGTAGCTGCACAACCATTATGTTGCCTACAAACATTTAATCAAAGAGACACATGCTCAGAAACTCACACTGATGCAGATGTGATCACACACCATCACCAGGCATGAAAGCCCTCTAGTCAGCTGTCTGCCAGTAATGATCCTTCTCTGGCAGCTCAAGTGCGTAGCATGAAAATGTCGCTAACCAGCTGCAGTCACACTGTTCACACATCTGCTTTTTATATTATGTACTTTGTACATTCTGAAGAACATTCCCTCAATCCCTCAATTTTTTGTACAGCTTGTATCCCATGTATTGTGTCCATTTACCGGTCTGTGAACGGAACACTGTTGCAATTAGTAGTTAACATTCACAGTGAGACATAAAGAGACTGTATGTAACCAGAATAAACAAAGAAATAAGACTGTGCAGCTGGTTCATGATTCTGTTACAAGTACAGCTGCAATACAAGCTTAAGCACTCTTCTTATGTCTTTCTCTGTACATTTCCCAAACAGATATACTGGTCTCAGCCAACAAAAATCTTTCTGTCACCACCTATGTTGAGTTGGGAATGGGGAGCATGCAGTTGAAGGGTGGGAAGAGCCTGTTACACCAACTTGACATAATGCTGCCTCATCCTGAGATGTGACGTGCAATACCAGAGTCAGACATGACGGAGTGGTAGATTCAAGGATGGAAAAGAAGATGGCAAAAGGGAAAGTAATGACATAAAACCAGCTGGAGGGACTGACAAAGGACTCTTTTTAGGGGTGGCCCTGACTGGCAACCACTGTTGTTCCTGGGCATTTCAGACTTGTAAAACGTTAATATTCAGTTCAATAACCATTTTCCCCTATTCTCCCCCTCTATTCTTTCACTGAGGGATTAGAGTGGCAGGGCTTGGGCTGAAAATTAATGGGAAATGACTGGCAGAAAGTTGTCCAAGTAGGGAGAAAAGTTGCCAGACATGACAAGACCACCAGCACAATCAGGCAAACTGGAAAAAAACACATGTGAAATGCAGCACTTTCTCAAGGAAGTAATGAACGTCAGTCGCTAAATTACTGCAAGTCTGCAATGACGACTGCACTGAAATAATTATTCTCAGAAATGTTAAACCACCAATGGAGCAAGTTTAACAATGACACCAACCTTGTTTGCCAATTGTATGTTATTATGTGTGTAATCCATCAATCCATTATCTATACCACCTATTCCTGAATAGGGTCACAGGGGGCTGGAGCCAATCCCACCCGACAGTGGGTGAGAGGCGGGGTCCCCCCAGGACAGGTGGCCAGTCTATCACAGGGCTGACAGAGACAGACGACCACACACACTCCTACGGGCAATTTAAAATCACCAGTCAACCTAAGCTGCATGTCTTTGGATTGTGGGAGGAAGCCGTAGCACCTGGAGAGAACATGCACAATCCACAGAGAAAGGCCCCGGGTTGGCCAGTGAATGACTAACCAGGTCTGTCCCTGCTTATGTGTGTAATCTAACTGTTAAATAATTAAACATGAAAATAGCTTTTTATTTTTCAGAACAGTTTCTTTATTGTCTTTTCAGTTATTTTTTATTCTTTTCTCAATCTCTTAAAATACTGCTTACTTGACGATCCACATTTTGTGGCTCTAATCACAGACCGTTGTAAACAACACCAGGGCTATCCAACTACAATATCAGGGAAAATGCTTTAAAATGTTTAAAGGACAAAAACTAAATTCCAGCTCATCACAGATGAGACTGAGATGAGCCTGTGAACAGCGGGGTGCTCACCTTTCATAAATTGATCTGAAGCTGTTCTGCAACTTGTCTATTCAGATCAAGCATGTCGTTATTATCTTTTTGACTACTGGTCCTATAATACCTACAACTGAAGATGACAGATCAGCAGATGATGGACAGAACTGTGATAAAACACATTTTTAATGTGCTTCAACCTTAAAAAGAAAAAAAAAAATCAATGTGCCTATTCAAAATGTCTATTAATGACTGGAGCTTCAATAGATTATTACAAAATGTGAACCACTCTTAAGGCCTTTTCACACTGAACGCGATACGAATAAGCGAGATGAAAAAGCGAAAAAAACGCAGGCGAATTTAACGCACCAAAAGTATTCACACCGAACGTGACGCGAATAAGCAATATTTTCTTAAAACGTCGCGCTACAAAGATGGACTCCATATCAAGCGACGACGATGTACTGCTTGTCCTGCTACATAAAAAAAGAAAACAAAGAAGTTTTGGGTCCATCCTATATTGAAAAGAAGGAGAGAACATG